TAATGTATTCTACACAGTGACAATAGTTTGTTGATTATTTAGCCTGTTCCTGGCTCCACAGACATAACATCACCGAACATCACCTTTGGTGAGAGGAATGCAGGAGAATGAATGAAAAAAGAAGTGTGCACATCTTTGGTGTTCTTTGTGAATTCAAAACTCTTTCAGTCCTGAGTGCCATGAAAAGCAAGATTAGGACCTGGTTTGTTCACATGCTCACAGACTTGAATGACAAAGGCAACGACGCTGTTCCAGTGCCAAGAAAAAAATTGAAACCCCCTAGGTTGGTCTGTGATTTTGTATATTTTAGACCTAAGGCATAATTTGATCTTCATGAAAGTCTTAATGCAGTTTATCATAGAAGTTCAGGAGGAAGGTTAGATCCTTATCTTGCCTACTTCCTCTCTCCTACATATATATATACTGTATGTATATAACGCTTACCTTCTGGACCCTGCTTTACACTTCTCTAACACACTCCTCCTGTCACCCCATCTTCACTCTTCCAGCAGCTCCCTCGCTCATTCCTCGTGAAAGTGAGGGAGGGTCAGTCAGCCTCATTCTTACGGTCAGTCTGGATCTAATGATCTAACTGGACTACTGAAATAAAATATATCAGATTAAATATATCATAGAAGGACATAGGATAGGGGGCACCTCCTTGAGCAGCTGAATCTTCCTCTAGATGTTTTCTCGAAGCGTTCATCAGTCTCTTGCATCGGCTTATACGAACTTTGGCCCCTCCCTCCTAGTGGAACTGCTGCAAGTTCGTGACATTTGAGCCTTTCATTGTTCTAACAACGTGCTTCAGATGCTGCCATAACATTTCCGAAAAGCAGAGTGAGGTCCAGACTTTGTCTTGGCCCATCCAAAATGTGAAGTTTCTTCCTCTTCAGCTGCCTGTATGCTTAGGATCGCTGTCTTGCTGCAGGAACCACTTTCTGCTCACTTTCAACTGACGAAGGGGGTGGCCTGACATTCTCCTCCAGAATTTTCTGATACTACAATGAATCCATTGATCCATCAGGGATGACAAGTCATCCAGTTCCCCGGGCAGCAAAGCAGCTCCAAACCATCATGCTCGCATCAGCACGCTTGACAGCTGGGATACGTTCTTTTCTTGGAAGGCAGTGTTTGGGTTTCACCACACGAAATATTTCTCATTGCAGCCAAGACGTTCAGCTTCATCTCTCCAGAGGATATTCTTTCAGTCGTTTTATGGTTTCAGACTGGCAGCAATGTTCTTGTTTGAAAGAATTGGTTTCTTCCTGGTTATTCTCCCATCTAAAACATTCCCATTCAGTCTTCTCTTGATGGTCCAGGCATGAACACTGACACAACCCACAGTTAGGGAGGCCTGCAGATCCTTAGATGTTACTCTGGGGCACTTCCTGGATGATTCTGCAGGTTGCTCCTTTGGACGTTCTCGGCAGGAGAAATAGACCTGGGTTGAGTCTCCACGGTCTTGAACATTTTCCATTTGTAGGTTATCTGCCTGATAGTGGATGGATAGAGACCCAACCATTTCAAAATGGTTTTGTAATCCTCTCCAGACCGATGGGCATCAGCCACTCTTTTCCTGAGGCCCTCTGAAATCTCTGTACATCATGGCATGGCATGTTTGCACTTACCCATATGGCTGAAGACCAAACACATGAGCATTCTGACCTCTATATAGAACAGGGACACCTGAAACACCGTCCTCGTCTACTTCTCATTTAAATAACCCAGTGCTAATTGCCACCACAACTGTGCTAAGGAAACTATTATTTCACTTACACTGATTCTTAATTATTCTCTTGCATCTCCGAAAAAATCTCAGACTGGTGCATCTAAAACCTTTTGGCCATTTAAGAAACAATGGCTTCAATTAAACGGAGGTATCATGGAAAAAAATTGCAACTCAGATAATTATATCAGGAGTTTACCCACTGTTGCTCAGCGCTGTACATATTTGAAACTGATGGGGGTCTTGAGCTTTTACGTTGTAACTGAATAAGATTCTCCCTCCAATGAGCTACTTGTAGCTACACAAACAAGGGGAAAATCATGCTTAATTATAACATCGTTCTACTGCGTATGAGTAACTTGCAGGGGAGACTGCAGAAGAATTGACGGGGTAATTCTGGCATTGGGAAAACACATTTTAATCCTCAGACCTGCGTGATGAATTGGGAAATGGTGAATTTGGAATTCCAGAGCAAAGGGGAACCAAAAAAAACGATCTGGTGTTGGAGGATGGGGGTCGGACAGGGAAGGATTAAATTTGAAAAAAAAAAAAATCCAAAAGGTAAGAAATAACGCACTGTACAGGATGTTTCCCACGATAAATAAAATGAACTATTTCCCCAGCTTACTAAGGCCCCTGTTTTAGTTGTAAATCTTTGGTGTCCTGTTTTTTCCAAGATAGTGGTTGAAAGGCCTATTTGGAGAGAAAGAAAGCGAAAAAGCATTTCCTCACGAAAAATGCCGCTGCACCTTTCTAGTCTCTTTCGTCTGCTTTCAGACAAGTTGTCAGCCATGACTGTGCCCTCAGTGGGTTTTAAAATCCGGCTGAAAGACGTCGTGGAAAAACGCTACCTTTCCTCTGGCCTCATCTCGCTGCCTACCTGCAGAACTGCTGACACAGCCCTCATGGGAATGGAGCAAGTCCACTTTGATTTCTCGTTCGGGAAAATGAGCGAAACTGTAGCTAAAACAAACACACCACTTCTATTCCCTAGGACCACCTTGGATTCCAATCAAGAGGACGATGTTAAATCCCATGACCCCTATTTTTTAAGCTGCGGCACCAGTGGAGTTTAGTGTATACAGTGTTGTGTGTGTGTGTGTGTGTGTGTGTGTGTGTGTGTGTGTGGAGGGTGCCTTTGTATTCAGGGAGGTATGCAGGACTTTGAATTGTTTATAATTAAGTGCATAACACTAAAAAAAAACAACATATACACACTTTTCACCTACACTCCACAATACATTATCTGGCCCCGCTGGAAATTTAGTGCCCATGCTGGCCCCCTGTGACACACTGAGAACCCGCACTGCCCTGCCAAAGATCCAAAATAATGGGAAGCATCCAGCACGTGGTAACTTCCAGGATCCCAGAGAGATGTAAAGCAACAGCAGACCAGACCTTTTGACCAGCATGCTATCGTAAGGGAAGGCAGGCTTTTGTGCATGGTTCCCTTGTGTGCTGCAAGTGGTGCCTTATGTGGGGTGACTGGTAGCACATTACCAAAGACCAACGGAAAGTGGGGTTCAGTCTGCAAAGAAGCTATTTTTGATTGATTTGACTGATGCTTTTATCCAATACCACTGACTGGTCCCGGCTCTACACAGACAACTACGTGACGTGCCTTGGTGTGCTCCACCTGTCGGAGCTGTAGTTCACTGAAGGCAGACCAACCTGTTAGTATTTCTAATATCTCGACAGAGCCAGAGGCCAGACACAAATCCACCCAAAATCCATCTGCTTCAAATTGGTGAAACTAGTGTTTGAGGGAGAAATATGCCAAGACGGTCATTTTCCTTTATTTTTCTTTAAGGCAGGAGGGGATCGTGACCAGCAGGACACACCTTGACTGTATGCCTGCAATCTGCCATCTCTAAACGCAGTTTGCAGGACGTCTCATGTAGAATAAGTGTAAAACTGGACAGATCTGAAACATCTGTAGCGTGAGGAGGTAGCGTGGTCCAATGCTGTAATTGAACTCGGGTATTCTCTCCTAGTATCCCATAGGTGTGACACATCTACAGAATGTCCTATAGGTGTGACACATCTACAGAATGTCTCTTCTGGCAGTCTGGAAGAGAACCCAGAGAGTTCTCATTTTTTTACCTAACAGAACGAGACGAGTTAGATTCCTGAGGTGCCTCTACATGAACATTTTGTGGCACCTTTGTGGGCACCTTACCACTGGATGGGTACCTGGTGCCACAGTCATTAATGTCCTTTAGTACTTTTCTTCAGATGCAGGTTTTTGGTTGAAAAGACACTGGCAACCTATATACTGTACACACACCATGACAGTATAAAGCACGGCACAGCAAATGATAGAACGTAACATTTCGGGAAGTGAAACGGTAGAAAAAATGCCTCTGTGTTCTGAGAGTTAAAACTCTTTACTACTTAAACTACTTAAAGGTAGGTGTCTTTAAAATATAGTCAAATTCCTTGCAGCATTGTTCCTTTAACCCCCCGACTGTTGAATGCTTGATACAGCTTGTCTTCCGAAACAAATACGATGATTAGCTGTCCACGAAGGACCTGCATTTGAGGCTGACAACCCAGGCAGTTGGGATCAACTGCTTTCCAGAATCACTCATCGGACCTGCAACCCCCTCTCACCACCCCACTCCGTCCCCTGCACCCGTACTGAAATCTGTGAAGGAAATGAACTTTGCCCTAGCTTTTCATGCACGGCAGTACCCCCCCCCAAAGACCCCCCTTCAACCTCCAAATCACACATACCAACTCTCCCTACTCCATCACCCCTGTTAAGGGGCTCCTGCCCTCAGATAAAGGCCTCTTTATTCAGTCTGCTTCATGACAGGGAAAGGAAATCAGCTTAAAAAAAAGAATCACAGGAGCAAAAGCAACAGACCACAGGGCTGCACATCTGGAGTTATTACAACCCTCTGTCCCCGCCAAGAAACTCCGACATTCCTTAGCTGGCTACAACGTCGTGGAGCTTCTAATGTCAGCACCCCCTCCTCCCTAGCCCCCTACCAGCCCCCAGCGCAACCACCAAATACAAACCAACACCCCCCTCCCTTCCACATCCAGGCTCCTCTCCTCCTCCCCATGGGGCAACTCAATACGTCTCACTTCCTGTTGACCTCTGACCTCCCACTTCCTGTTGCCTCCTCAAAAGCCCGAGAAAAAGAGAAAAAAAAACCCAGACAAGAAGCCCCACCTCTCTCTCTCTCCCTCCCTCCCTCCCTAGGAAAGTTAGTTAACAGAACATTGCCACGTCAATCCTACAGCTACTCTCACTGCCCTTGGAAAGGGATGTGGGACGCTTTCTCTTCTTCTCTACTTGAATTTCACTCCTTTTCTCCCCTTTCGGCTCCCTTTTTGATTTTATTGCTTAACCATCTTTCCGGGACTTTCCGGGTGGCTACTGGCAAATCAGAACTGATTTGTTTTTTTCTCCAGTTAGCCATGCAAAGCAGCACCTCCAGGTAACTTTGGCGGGTGTTTGGGCTGATGAGGGAGAAAGGAGAAGGCAACCTCTTTACTTTGCCCCTCCCAACTTCTACTTCTGCCCTTGACCTCCATCATATAGACCCCCTCCTCTCTCCCCCCGGCCCCCCCCCCAGCACTGGCTCCAAGCATCTCCACTCCTGAAGCTGCACAGCGACTCGTCTGTGGACCGAAAGGGAGTGTAGAGGAGGGAGGAGAAAGAGCACCACTGGACCAGTCAGACAGCTCAGCCCCCCGAAGTGCACCTATCTAACACTTCATTTCCTTTCTTTTTCATTTCAGGCGGAGAAAGCAGATCTTGACCTCATCCGCTTGCTTACGGCGCCTTTGTCGCACAGAACTACTGGACAGCAGCATCACGTTTTCTGCGTCCTTTCAGCCGCCCAGAGCGGCTCAACTTGACTTCACCTCCACGGTACACCAGCGGCGTAGAGGAAGCCCTTTGGGTAACGAATGCTTTGATTTTTTTTTTTTAACCTCTTCAGGCAAGTGAGGAAGACAGGAGTGGAAACGTCTGCTGCCATATTTTTTTTTTCTAGTCTTGAGCCAAATTGCATAGGGTGTTTGAAGCCACAGGAACTCCTCTGCTGCATGTCATCAGTCCACAAGGAGTTATTTCTGTTTGAGCAATGAGTGGATAATGCTTAATTTTGCGCTTTTAAAGAAAATGAATTTCCCAGATTAGACTGGCTTTTCATTTTATTTTCAAACATATTTGCCGTTGTGAACACCGGTTGCTAACCCAGTGGTCTCTTTCTTGGGTTTTAGGATTAATTGCTTGAGCATCTTAAAGCAAAGCAGGGTGATAGGTTCATTTGTTTCACAATTATGCTCAAAGACAAAGGGAGGCAGAGAAAAAAATCTAAGTGCTGGGTTTTCCTATTCTGGCTGATCGGGGTGCCTGTTGTGGCAAAGTATGATGGAATTACTGATCAAAACTGATCCACATCTCTCCTGTTGGCAGCATTCTGCTCGAGATGGGTTAATCGTATTGAACAGGGACTGTGCTCCTCACCAGCACTGGAACATACTGTGTATCTACAGTAGATGCAGGATGGAGTCTGATTCAGTAGCTAGTTGGTGTCGGAGTGAGTCTGCCTGTGGATGTGAATGTCTGGACAGTTAACTCCATGGGTAAAAAAAGATCTTACAATCATAAAAAGAACTGTATTAGATCAGGTCCAGTTTTGAAAAAAAAAACGGATTATTTTCCCTCACAATGTTATTACTTCTCTATTTAATGTACGAGATATTGACTTTAAACAGACTAAAAATACGATAATGATAAACTTGTCTTAAATAAAATTGTATGACAGCGTAGATGAGTCGATGTTACCGGATACTTTTCTGTGATCTATGTTTTAATTTTTTGCTTTTTAAACTTAATTTAAAAAAAATTCTTGCCAGGGTTAAAAAAAAGCGAAGAATATTAGAAAATTACTGGGCAGTTTTACAAAGAAGTGATTGGAATGTAATTTTTTCTCCTTGATTTGATTGGTTTCTAAACCTCTCTGGCTCAGCCCGTTACATTCTTGATTCTGACTGGGCAGATATTTTTGTTCAGGTCTCTGTTGCAGCAGTGTGAGGGGATGACACATCCTTATAGCACCACGGCGGTATCTCACTTTAAAATGTGCACCATTTTTGTTGGAAGCGCTAAACTCTCTTGGATTTTTATTGGCCGATAAATCAGAAAGCTTTTGTTCTTAGAAGTTGAAAAGAAAAGACAAGAAGCGAGAGGCAGCGCTTGAACCATCAGCCAGAACAGATTATCTGACATTAAACTCTGCATTATTTTTCTTATCGTGATAAGATGGCAGATCTAAAAGTGTGCAGCTTTGATCTCCAAATAAACGGCGAATGTGAAATTATACTGATCTTTCTTTGCAGGAACTATTTTCTGTAGGTGTGAAGCTATCGTCACTGGTCTTTATAACTATGCCCCTTTTTTTTCCTCAGGAGCCCTTATTTCCTTCAAAGCCCAGCCTGGACTGAAGATCCCTTGGTTTCGAGGCCAGCAGGCACATTGGTGCTGGCCAGTATCCTGACCAGTAGGTGACGATGGTATCTGTGGTTCCCAGCTGGCATCTCTGTGTGTCTGTGTGAATTAACGCGCCACCGTTGAGCCTGTCGGACGTTGCCCAGGGAGTGCCCAGTGACCCGCCTCGCCTGCCCAGTGTTCAGACTACCTGTTCAGGAAGTTGTGGTTGTACAGTAGTCTGCACATTGGTTAGGCTGTGTGGGGGAGCTCGAGACATCAAGACCCGCAGCCTCATCGAGCACAGACGCCGAGAACCCCGTGATGTGCTCCGCGCCAGGCCTTGTTCAGCCGAGCACGAGGCGTTTTCTAGCTGAACAGGGGTGGTACAGTCGTTTACTCTACCAGTCACTCAAAGACAGCACACTCTGGGCCACCCCCCCTCAAGGTTACACCTTGGTCCTGCCATTGAAGGGTACCGCTAGTGTCACAGGGCGTCACAGTCATCATTGCAATCGCTAATCTAGCTCCTGCGGGACTTTGTTTGATGTTGTATTTGTGAGACGGTGTTTTTCCTATTCGAGAACATGCTGTAAAACAGAAAATCCTCTTCTCTCTATTTAAATACTAACTTATAAAAATCTTTCCAGCTACAGTTTTTGCTCAATGTGGTGTTGGTGGTGGGTGTATTAAAATGCTTTGCAAATGCAACTGACTTAACTGCGGTTGCTTCATGAGCTTTCTCGCGTCTGTTTTGGATTTGTAACACGCAGTGCAGTTTTATACCGTATTTAGTTTTTCTTTATTAATGACTTTATGCAAGGCTTTAGTTATAATGTTTTGCTTACTTTCTGTGTGAGTGTTCTTAGTGACTGAGTACACTGTACTTTAAGGTCTTTAAGGAAGAAAATGTCTGAGGGAGCAATTTTATGCTATAATCTCATAACTATTACTATGATTAGACCTCTTTATTCATGTGGTTGATGTTAACAGACTGCTGCATACCTTTGGGGACAGATTGCTTTGGTGTCATCTTTCCTAGTATGTTGAAATGCCCAGACTCTGACTCATAGCTTACTCAGAAATCCTGCTGACAGAGTTCTGACCACTTCTGGGAAGAACACACATCACTCCTGTGCTGGTGTCTGTGCACTTGCTGCCTGCTCAGCTTGGAACTCAGTTTGTTCTTAACACTTTGAGATTAACAAGCTAGAGAACCGTTACTCTGAAACTGAGGTGTGATAAGCTAAAATGCTGAAGGACTTGTAAATGACAAATTAAAGATCTTTCATGTCAATGCAGACTTCTCTGGCAAACTAAACCGGTCACTGAGCTTCAGCTGGTAAATCTGAAATGGTCAGGTGGCCCACAGTCTATATCATATGCTAACAGCAAAAGATATATTTCCCCAAGCCATGTTCATGGACATGGAAATGTATGAGCTGAGGAGACTTTCTTAATGCACGTTTAAATTAATGCAAGAGTAATTTTTGTCACTTTTATTTTTTTTCCTGTTTCAATACAATACGAATTGTAATAAAGATTTTTAATAAAGGTCTTGTTCTCTTATGTCAAAATTATTTAGTATTTTCTAAGAGGAGAAAACCTTGCACATCTTGACTATCGTTACCAGCATTGCTCCAGGAGCAACATGCACTGTATTGTTTAAGAAAGTGTTTTGAACTGTTGGCTTCTGTCCTGTCAAAGTCTTTCTTAAGGCAGTCTTTGTACTGAAGCAGTGCCTGGTCCACCTCCAGCTGGGCCTAATGTATGAAACTTAGTATCAGAATGAAAACTGTGAATCAAAAATGTTTACTTCAAAGGTCCCTCAGAGCAAAAGTTTGATGGTGCGTGAGCAATGCTTTGAAAAAGTGTGTACTTATGTGAATTTTTGTGTGTTGGGGTTTATATTTTTGAGCAAAACAAATAAGACAAAAATATATATTTTTGGAGATCTAATTTCTCCAACTATTGGACGTCTTGTGATTTTAAGAGCCGATCCATAGCCTGTCATTAGTAATGACAAAGAGTTGTTTATTTCATTACAATGCTGGTTTCTGGGTTCTTAAGAATTTTCTATCAAGGGAAGCAAAACAATGTCCACTTATTGAATAATCTGATGCAGCAGTCTGTAGTTTAATGAAAACACGGTTAAGAAATCTCTCTAAAAACAAAAATACATGCTCTATTCAGTCTTCCCCTTTTGTCACAACAAGACAAGAACTCAAAGACTTAGAAAGTCTCATGATAATTTATGAAAAGAAAAGACAACTTGTGGTATGCCATATTTTCAAGTTAATTCTGCAACTCCCACTTCAAAAAGCAGGTTCTCGATAGCACACAGTTTTGCAAGCATGTTTACTCAAGAATTCAGCGCATAACCTTCACTCAGATACCGAGCGACAGCACTTATCACTATTACTGTAATCCTCAGTAGATTATAAGGTAGGTTTCTGCTTTCATGTGACCACTCTCTGGTGATCACAATTAATAAAACAGTTAATTGATTTGCACTGTTCAAGATATTACTCCTTAAAAACGTCAATGGCCTCTCCGTTAAATGAAGGACTCCCCTCTTAGCACGGAACTAAGCGGTGGCTGTAATTTCCCTGCTGTGTTACCAGTACTCTCAGTTACCTTAAGATACATTTTTTGGTTAAGACCTTGAAGATATTGAGACTTTTTTAGCTCCTAGAGGAGGGCTGCAGTTGTGCTGGCAACACACCTCGCTAGTGTTTACATTGAAACAGGGCTGCCTTCACTGTACATTAAAATATCTTTTAGAAGTAAACCTGAGGAAAAAATAAGAGTGCTGTTCATACTATTTATACCTTTACTGCAGCAGCCCATAATAACAGTAATAATAAAGCTAATTATTTCCTGCAATTACATGACTGGTTTTAAAGAGATGTTCCTTTGAAAAGCCCCCTGAGGTTCACAGTAATACGTCCTCATAAACTTTAAAAAAGAAAGGATCAGAGGATGAAGACAAGGGCGGATATTAAACACAAATATCCTTGTTAGCCGTTTGTCAAAAAAAAAGCATGTAGCTTCACCGAGCAAGACCACCACTGAGTGCCAAACGCCCTTCATTTCGGTATCTTTAATTTTGCTTCTGTATCATGCCTACGTGTCCAGCTCACAATGTGCACTTTTTTTCCCCGTTCCAAAGTGCCACTTTGAGAGGTTTATACACATTCAACCAAAGCGTTCTCCAGATGTTGCTCGGCAGACATCTGAAGAAGCGATTTGGGCTTTTTCTTTCCCCTGGATCATTTCCTCACCTTGACAGCGCAGGGGGACGTGCTGTCGGGGGGGACGCCGGCCACATGGGCGACCTCCAGCGACTGCTCGTTTGTCAGGACGTGGTAAAAAAAAGAAAGCTGGCGTTTCTATAAATAAATCCACAAAAGAACTTCGGAACCGTGAAACCGAACATAAACAAGTGGGGAAACTGAGGAGTGAGCAATGCTAAATAATGTTACTGATGATCTTATCCTCCTCCCCTCAAGTCAGCACCCAATTGACCTCTAAAACAGAGTTTCCTAATCCTAATCCTGGTGAGCCAGTGTCTGCTTATTGTTGGTCCTGAACATTACTTAACTCAGCCCGGTACTGAACAAATAATTTGATCGATCAAAATGACTGCCTCAGTGTCGGCTATTAAAAGCGGGAGAGATACAGTATCGTGTCCACTAGGAGACTTCACAAGTACCTTGAAAGGTGCAGCTCTTAAGAGGCTCTCCTCTAGAAACCGTCTGTTTCAGTTGAGCAAGCTCAGCTGCAGTCCGAACCGGCAGATACTGAGCTCATGAGAAGCCGACGTGGGAGTCCTCGCTCTGAGGCCTTCAATAAGATCTGACAGCGTTTCAAAGGAAAATCTGCTTTCACCAGGACAAAATGTGATGGTTGGAATTACTTTTAGGATGATCCTGCATCACAAAAACACAAACGGAATGCTAAAACCTAGAGAAGGAATAGGTAGCGCTCTCTATCACCATAGCCCCCTAGTAACTCTTGGGACCACATCAAATCCGGATAGTTTTCTCTCTCAGCCAGCCAAGACACATCTGTATTATTGCTTTATCTTGCTTGCTTCTTTAAAGTGTTCTTTCAAAAACCGTTTTAAAAAGGAATTGTGCAGGCTTTGTGTTATCTTTGCATTTACTGTGGGGAAAAAAATCTCCTGTACAGAAAACAGCTTTGTTTTAACATCCAAAATAAAAAGGGAATGGTTTAAGGACACCCACTTCGCTCTCAGAGAGGCAGTCCACTACAGAGAAGGAGGTATTATTTCTATCGAGGGGAGATTTTAGGACCTAGAATCTTACTAAAATGTTCGGTGGAGAGGGTTTCCTGTATGTTTGTAACTCCAACTGCTTTATGAATGATGGATTTAGAATAGGTTTTTGGTTTTCACTGTGCTTCATGTGTGCGCTGAAGAATTAGAATCTCTATTCCAGATGTAAAGCAATCCAGATGTGCATATATCAAAGCTACATGTGTGCCCATACGTTTTTACTCAAACTTTGTGCAAACCCTCTGTACACTTAATTTGTAGAAGATGGAGCCACATTGTGATCTAAATCGCCTCTTTTAAATTTCTTATCCCAAGAGTGAGGGCAGACTTTTCACATCCACATTTACATGGATGTACTGTATTACAACATTTACAGCCAACATTACAACATTTACAGCCACACAGACATCAGTTAAAACATCCCTATCTAGGACAAGTAATTACATATTCACAAAGTTGAGCCTTCAAGGAGACCACACTATACAGAAAAAATCACTGCGTTTGGCCTCAGTTATTTAGATGCCTTTGCCTAAGTAATACACATATTCTGTACATGTTTGTGTATTACATAGGCAGTACATGTTTCTGTATTATGCAGGCAAAGACATCTTGTGTGTCTCTGTGTCTGATGCTAGGCACATGACAAACCCCTTCTCAAATCTGGAGCAAGAGGAAATGCCATTAGGCACCACAACAACGTTTTTACCAGGAGGCACAAATATGTGGCACAGTAGTACTTGAATTAATATTTACGCTCCCTTGTTGCGGCCTTGAGAGAGGCTTCAAAACCACTTACAAACTATGACACATGTAAGTGGGAAGACGTGAGCTTTGTCGTAACAGTTAGAAAACAAACGTACTGCATTAGCACGGGGGAAGGTCAGATCACAGAACAAAACCCAAGAGAAACGCTTCTGTATCTTTAAAGAATCGCAAAGGTTTGCATGTCTCCACACACCAGGAACTGTGTTAAACCCCCCCACATACACACACGGCCACACATTTCAGTGAAGTCTTTTCTCCTTCCCTTTCAGCTCTTAATCAACTTTCTGAAACTGTATCCACTTTTCCTCCAAGTTATTTATGGGCCTGACATAACTGGCTTTCCGACAGTTTTTATGACTTGGCTGGCTTGGAAGGAGTTTCGGTGTCTGGCAGGCCCAGACAAACGAGAAACTGGGCCAGGTTTCATAGCGGAGTCCTGTCTTATAATAACTCAGTGGTTTCCTCATGGTCGGGGGCACCATGTGCTCAGTCCCCTTGTTAGCACTCTGCACTTTCATGGGGTACATCTGTCCTTGACACCCCCTCCTCCAGCATGAGTCATTCTCTTTAGCCAAGAAGAAAACTGAACAACAGAGATGTCAATGGATCTGCTTCAGACTTTGAGGTGTCATTAGCGTCTAAAAGCTCTGTACGTCCTAAAAGGGGGCCGTG